TGCATCCATCGCTTCGTCTTCCACATGCGCCCACCCGCCCACAATTATTACCTCATCACGCTGCACTTCCTGTTGCACGGTCAGCACCACAAGGTGTGTTCCTTTTTCTCAATACCTGAGATTCATTTCAAATTCATTGAGCAGTAAACCCAGTAAAATTACCGTTTAAATTACCAGAATGAATTAACCGCCGGCGGTAAATACACAAATATCCTTGTTCACACATGGCTTTTTACCGAACATTCACACACCAGCACCAAAATACCAGTTCATTCTGTGATGTTTGTCATCGGAAATGATCTTTGATGATCTCAATGATGTCCATCTAGCGCATATTGACATACTGTAGAAAAACTATTAAAAAGCAGCGGAGCTTACTGTAAACAGCACGGGCCTTTATGATTGGCCAAAGCAGACTGTCAGCAGGTTCAGACTTCGTACATGCTCACACCGGTAATCTTCATTCTTTAATCACTTACAGCATCATAACGGTAATTTACTGCTAATATTACATCTTTACTGGTATCTTCTGAAAAGCTCCTGTTCACACATGATCTCTTACTGGTAATTTACCAGTAAAGGCTGTATGTGTGAAAGGGGCTATTGATGAAAACGACCAAAATCTCTGTGTTCTTGCCCATCAGTCGCCGTTTGACGGCTCTCGTCTGGTGTTTCCCCCGAGTCTGGCCGCCATCGCCGCTGGCGTGTTTTACCTGATACTCATGCAGCTGATGTCTGAGGGATTGGGAACCTCCCTGTTTGTTGGGGGCATGTGTGGATATGTTGTCTACGACATGATCCACTACTACCTGCACTACGGCTCGCCACGGAAAGACTCCTACTTGTATGGGCTGAAAGCGTACCATGTCAAACACCACTTTGAACACCAAAGGGCAGGTGAGGACATAATATCAGAGCATCTCTCTACAAAGTAGTGGATAAAGTGGCTGTATTTTATGCAAGATCAGTTATATTAAATACATTACACGTTTACATTTTAAACATTTAAAGGCCTGTTCACACCAAGGATACGATGACTATAAAGATAATGACAAAGATTTAGTTAAAAAAAAATCTTTCTCAATAGTAAAGAATGGCAGAGTTCACACGACAGCTATAACAATAACGGTGCAGAGAAACTATATTGTTGTCACCGAAAATTACACTTTATATATATATATATATATATATATATATGTATGTACTATATATTGTGTGTTTGTGCATATATTTACATATACACATATATTATTATTATTTTTTAAGTTATATTTCCTTATAAGATATATAAGATTTCAACTAAGCCACCCAGGTTGTTTGTAAAAAAAAAAAAAGGTTCAGAAGTCCTCAGGGCTATGACTTTTAATATTAATAAATAGATTAACTCTTTCCACGCCAGTGCTGGCTTTCCACGTTTTCACTGTTATACGGTAGGGGGCGCTATTATGCATTTTCTGAAGGGGTATGGAATCTTTTTTTTTTTTTAAATGCTGGCAGGGAAAGAGTTAATATTTATGCTCTAATATTTAATATTAATATATAACATATAATATTTTTTATTTGATTTAGTTATTTCGTTAAACCTGCTTTTTAAAAGCTTCTGTTTACTCTGAATTTTCTCCAGGTTTTGGAATCACCACCAGATTCTGGGACCGCCCCTTCAACACAGTCATCCCAGAGCAGACGTTTTAGAAAATCACTTTTTTTGCCACAATGACCAAATCAAAATGCCCCCAACAAACTCCCATAAGCCTCTCCCTTCTGCATTCTCCTTCTGTCACCATGTTAGATACAGTGTCTTACCCTGCTGCTGCTACCAGCCATAGTCTTAGGTTCTTCATCATCATCATCGCCATACATATTTTTCGAGAAGGGGGAGTGCCTGAAACATAGAGAATCACAGAATGTCAAGCTATATAAATATTTATATAATGTGTATGAATGTAGTGATGAATCAAGCGTTGGATGAAATCTGTAAATGTCTTTTATTAGAGGCACCACAATATCAAACTCCGTTTTTGCCCATCCATGTAATGTTAGGAGAGGTATAGATAGGGACCGGTAAGTGTGGGACAGTGTGTGAAGGTGCGAGTGGAAATTAATTCTTAGTTGTAGTGTTAAGACGCTGAAGGCAAGCAGAAGGAGGTCCTTTCGGTGGCCGCGTGAGCCATTGCCACTAAGGAAAACTCAGGAAAGTCTCAGATGCTTTAATTCTTCTCAGTGTTGATGTTTCCCCCGGCTGTCTGTCAAAACTTTGCTCCGCCCTCATTATGATGTTTCATGCTGCTCTGGTGATCTTGCTTTTCTGTCTCGTCTCACCCACTTTGAGGTGTGTTTTTTTTTGCCAATTGACTTACTAATATCGTGATCCGGAGGATGCCACAAGTAGCTGCTCCTCGAGTAATATGTTACATATCCAGTGAGATATTAAGTTATTGAGGATTGAAGTTAGCTTTTGGTTCTCCTGACTAACACATGGGGACGATTAGGCACTTTGAACTGGTGGTGAGGGCATGAAGCGGGGTGTACGGGCCTCTCCTGTCGGTGAGGGTTGCCAGCCGTACGTAGCTGTCATAGGGTGGAGGGATAGAAATCCTCTGTCGTCATTGTAGATCTAGCCGGCGCAACCATTCCATCTGGTGTGACGATCTGTTGCATCTGACCAGGCGTCAGGAGAGCGAGAACATCCTCGGCTGATCTCTCATCCGTTCACGCGGCAGATTTCGGACACTTTTGTATTGTTTCCTTGCTCGTTTTAACCCCCGCCTTTATCTTGACACGGTTTAATGATGTTGAAAAAGCTGTTGCCACATTTAACTCATCTTCATTCAGTCATTTTGAGCGTAATTAATGTTTCAGTGATGGTACGTTCATCGATTTCCTAATTTCTTGGTAAGAGGCCACCTTATCCTGGTTTGTTCTTGAATTTATATATGAAGATAAAGATTAAATGTATATGATATATTTAAGGAAAAATGATCCCGATGTGCCTTCCCTACCTTCCTTCTCCTTCCTAACCAATTAGATTGCGTTATTGGTTTGACGTTTCAGTCATGGAAGGACATTTGAATAGGGTTTTTCTTCATAACGTGATTGAAAGGCACATCGAAACTAATAAAATACAAATGGATATTGTAATTAATTGTGATTATTTTGTAACTGTGACGCCCTCCTGAGCTTACATGGACAGATCCCATGTCATAGGAGAATGCTTTCAGTTGAAGAAAGTTAGCGGAGATCTATATTTATCTGTTGACTTGAAATCACAACGGGAGCTTTTAATTCAGACAAATTGTTTTAGCTACAAATGCCTCTAATAAATCTGTTTACTACTATGTATTTTTATTTTGGATTTTTAAATTTCTATGCAAATGCAATTGTATTTGTAAATAAAAATATGTATATTTCTGAGGAAATTTGGTCATGTTTTTACTTGAATTGTCTTTTATTAGCTATTAGATTTGCACAAAACATGCACAAAAAACATAGTCAAAGTTTAATTCAATGTAATATCCTGAAACTAAAAATCTGTTAAATTAAATGTACATATACACTACTATTTAAAAGTTTGGAATTGATTTGTAGTGTTTTTGAAATAAGTCTCTTCAGCTCACCAAGGCTGCATTTATTTGATCAAAAATACAGTAAAAACAGTAATATAATGCAATCTTTTTACAATTTAAATTTTGTATATTGAAGTATTGTAATTTAGAATTTTCACCTTCATTACTCTTCACATGACGTGTCAGATGATCCTTCAGAAATCTAATGCTAATATGCTGATTTTATGCTCAAGAAACATTTCCACATAATGTTGAGCTGCTAAATATATTTGCAGTAGCTGTGATATATGATGATTCTTAAATGAATATTGAGTTTATTTATTTGAAATAGAATTTTTGTAACATGATTTTACTGTCACTTTTGATCTATTTAACATGTCCCTACTGAACTAAAAGCCTGTTCTTTAAAAACTATATCTTGGTGATTCTATGGGCCATCTCACGTCATATGCTGTCCATGAGTTTTGTTGCTGATGATTATCTGGGATAGGCCGCCAGGTCTTTCCCCAACCCTCCCCATTACATGGCTTGGGACTCTCTCTCTCTCACACACACACATGTATTCACACCGACAGACAATTTAGTGACTCCAATGTACCTAAACTGCATATTTTTGGATTGTGGGGGAAAACCAGAGGAAACTCAATCAGACAAGGAAGGGAGAACATGCAAACTCCACACAGAAATGCCGAAATGCCTCCTGGCTCAGCCGAGACTCAAACCGGTGACCTCTACCCACTGAGTCACGCACATATACAGTTTTGTTCATTCATGTACAGAAAGAGTGGCCGACTGTTAGCATTTTGGCTCATTTGTATGAATCTATTTATAAAGCCGACTATCCTGTTCATCCAGGCTTATGTCTCCACCCACTCTGTGGTTTTAGTAGTGTAATAACAATGAACACTGCCTGATACTTGGAAAAAGTAGCTAGTAAATGTGCATGCATTTCCAGGATATCATTTCGTCATGTCACTACTGTGTCATTCGGTTAACTATTGCTTTGAAAAGAAAGTGAATTAATGAAGATATTACATTGAATATGCTAGTCAAGTCACTGTTATTTATAGCTCTTTTTACAATATAGATTGTTTCAAAGCTGCTTTTTACAGTAATAAAAAGTAAAATAATGAGCAATTGTGCAAACAGAATTCAAGCAGCTCTAAGACAAGTGTTATTGTTTAGCTAAAGTCCGTTCAGTATTAATTTAGTTCAATTCAATGACTGTGTTTTGTGTGTAAAGTTGACCAATAATGAAATTCAATTCAACTATAAAGCAGTTCTGGAGGGGGGAAAAAAGTGCTAGTAGTGGTCATATTTTCTGACATACTGTAAAGTATCTAACAGACTAGCCACATGCTATTTTCCAAAACAAACGTGGCAGGCAATAGGACCCAGATGTGCACACGGACAGCAGAAATGCAGTCACCATCAGAAAAAAATGAAAATGTCCCTCCACACCCTAAAGGCTGGGAGGAGAAAGTGAGAAACGTTCGTCTGCGTTCCTGTTCTCTCCTAGTAAACCAGCGAATGGATTGGCTCTGAACAGGGTGAGTGTGGTCAACAACCCACCCTTGTAGTGTTTTGTGTTTCAGTGTCTGTGTGTGCATTTTCACACTTCAGGACACTGGAAGGGTTGTGAACATCAACAACACACACAAGCGCACCGAGAGAAGGTCCTGCCGTTGACAGGTATCCTGCAGAACTGTCTCCTTTCCATTTCCTTTTCCCCTCTCTCACTCTGTATAACTTGCTCTCTTCCTGTTTATTTTTTAGTTTCACTCTCATCTGAGTTGAACGTACTACTTTTGCCATTTTGGCAATGAAAACAAAGGCTGCAGACAGAGGATATAACCTTATTTGACAGTACTTGGTGCATTCAGTCATTAAGTAATGCTACTTTTCTCTCTATTAGTATAGAATTATGTAATTTAGTATATGACACTGTAAAAATATGTTTTGTTTTGTTTAAGCTTGTCTGTTGTCTAGGCTTTCAGGAAGCCAGATATCTGCTAGCTCATGCACTCTCACGTTTTTGCATTTACTGGAGGTGATTTGAATGAACTGTAGATATGCCTCTTTATTAGACTGTTATAGCCTATATAGTTTCGACTTTAATCTCTTGGCTCAGTATAATAATTGTTTAATCTTTATAGACCATTCTTTACAAGCACTTTCCACGAATGGCTCAAAAAGTTTTAAGCATTAGAGCGACAAAAACTATTAGAAGTATTTGATTAAGTATAATATGATATAAATTAACATAACAAATGGCAGTATAACCCCTTAAAATTTTGATTTTATTCTCAGAGGTCTTTAAACTATATCGAACAATCAAAATCACACAACTATGTCATACTTTTTCAGATTATTTGTACTTTATCAATACGTACTTTAATGTAAACAACCCAAACTATTTAAGTATTTTTTATTACCCATAATACCCAATATTGATTTTTAATTTTTATTTTACACACTTTAAATATATATACATTATAAATGTTTATTAAATAGCAAATTCACTTAAATCAGAGTTTTTAAATAGCCTATATGTAGACCCAGTTTACTAATATACTATTTAATAATAATATTATAGTTCATGTAGTTTTAATAACAATTTCTAACTTATTGTAATAATAATTAAGATTCAGGCTGTTTTTTTGTGCACGACTTTTGGAAAATGCCGATTTATATACAGTAAAATGGAGAACACAGTGAGATACTACAAAAAATAAAAATAAAACATACTCTCTCTTGGGTTACAGTTCCACAGGGACACCATGACGTCCCAGAAGGACCCTCAAGGGGAATTTTCAACCCTGACCAAGGTGACAGGGCCCTGCTCCTGGTCACGGGTCAGTTGTCCCTGCTGTATCTCCAGCCACATAGAGCCTTTGGTTCTGATCCAGCTTGCCGAGAATGTCCAGCCCATCACCAAACAGTGGATCATGTCCATGATATCTGCACCTGTGAAGGCTGGAGGTGAGGAGAATACTTTCATATTCACACGCACAGAAAACCTGTTGTAACGCTCCTGTTGTCAGTTTCACATCACAAAATTACATGATAGGGGAGCTGATTTTTGGAAAGTTTTGATATAAGATTTCGTGAATTTTACTACGCCGCTGGCCTAGCCTACGACAGCAATCATCCAGCACACCCGCGACTGTATACAGCAGTATGGAAGATGTATAGGCGCCTATAAACAGTACACCATATCTTGTTGGATATTTATAGATATAATCCGAGCACAACAAACATCATGGAACATTAAAAAATATTAATTTGGTCCAATATGTAAGATTTAGGCTAGCTATTTCACGGGGTAGGCTAACTTACCCAGAAATTTCTTCTGCACCAAATAACAACTTTTGGATATCAGTAGCCTATAGGCTATTTATTTCTTACCAGTGAATTGCACAGTTGAGCGGACATGATTCTTTTGGTCCGCTCCCTTCAATAAGGGTGTCAAGATAAACGACGCACAGTCAAAGTCAGCCACGATAAGCGCGCGGTTTTCTGTGGAAGACAAGAGAAAGCGCGTGCTGGAGAAGCGCGTGGAGATGACGAGGCACGTAAATGAAAATAGAAACACAACCACAAATTTATGATTGTTATGCTTAACCCTGGCTTAACATTTTAGCCATAAACTTGGATTTATCTGATCATTAACGCGTTCTCTGAAAAAGACCTAAAAAGAACCTGCCTTGAACAATAGGCCCAAAAAATAACCAAATGGAAACCTCAAACCGTCAAAGAAGCGTGTTCTTATCAGGTAATCAGGTTCCCATTTGGTTATTTTTATTATAGGATATATATATATATATATATATATATATATATATATATATATATATATATATATATATATATATACTGTATATCATTGACCATAATTATCCTGGGACCAGAGTGCTGATGCCGTTTTTACCAACTAGGCTATCTGACCAGATTGGCACAGAAGGCAGACAAGGTTTGTATGGATACAGCCCATCTACTTTCAGTGGAGCTCCCTTCAAGCCGCTCCCTTCTGGTCGTAGGTATATCTAGAAGTAGATATACACTAGATTAAGTGCACTAGGTGAAGTAAACTAGATTAAGTACACTAGGTGAAGTAAACTAGGCTATGCGAAGTAAATTAGGTGACGTTAAATAGATATAAGTACACTAGGTGAAGTAAACTAGATTTGCAATAACTCAACTTTCCTTGTTGTTTAGGGGCTCAGCTGTTAGTTCACCCCGGAGAGGACATGAAAGGGGATATGATAGTTGTGGCTGCCCCTCGATGTACCCTTCTTAGGGTGACTGAGGACCTTGGCCTCTGCAAAACCTATCAAGATGGAAACATGACGGCCTTCTCTTTTGATGACCGTGACAACTTTTGCAACATTGGTGAGGACGCACAGTAGGCTACAAAATAAATAAAAAACTACACTCGAGATTGTGTTTGCTTACTGACATTGACTCCATCTCAATTTGCACATTTCTACTAAGCACTAAAAGTATGTTCTTCACTGGTGAATTCTTTTAACTATGTATTTTATTTTGATATCATTTTAATCTGGCTAATGTTATTATACCAAAAATTCTTTGTTATTTCACTCTTTCTGCAGATGACATGAAGAAGTTCCTGACGCTGGCAGAGAGGCAGTATATAGTCAAATATGAATTGGATTCCATGAGAGCCATGGAGGACCAGCGAATCCCAGGAATCCCAACACCCAAGGGGAAGTTGAAAGCCAGAGTGAGCATCTGTGAGTATGTGTATGTTAGTAGGCTAGTATGAATGTTGAATGTATTGTATAACAAGTTACCATTTTTGCGTGACCTAACAGCAACAGTTCCCTCGCTTCACCTTCATTCACAAATCATCTCCCGTGACCTAATGGGATAGTAAAGAATCTTTCTGAAAGTAGTAGGTCATCCGGGTCATTTTTACCTACTCTGTACTGTGAATTCGGACTAATTTTGTTATATTCTGTTTTTCTTCTACCATATAGTAGGAAAGTATGCGATTTCGGATGCAGCCTGTGATATGCTCATTATTTGATCGGACTGCTAAAAATTGCAACATCCTTACACAAAATAGGATTGAATTAACTCTTTTATATCCAACGACTTCATTTGAACAACTAAGCTTGCATATTGTTTTGCTCACTATACTGTACTTTTATAAAACATCAGACACTATACAGTGTGTTTTAGTAAACAGTGTGCTAGTTTTATATTCAGTTCCATGAGTCACCAGCAGGCTCCACTCTCCTCTCTCTCTGAACTGCTTAGTCACTGCATGCAGATCTATCTATCTGTCTGTCTATCTATCTATCTATCTATCTATCTATCTATCTATCTATCTATCTATCTATCTATCTATCTATCTATCTATCTATCTATCTATCTATCTATCTGTCTGTCTGTCTGTCTGTCTGTCTGTCTGTCTGTCTGTCTGTCTGTCTGTCTGTCTGTCTGTCTGTCTGTCTTTCAGTCTGTCTGTCTGTCCGTTCATCCCTTTCTCTCTCTGTGCTGCAGTACAGAAGCTGGAGAAAGCAGGCGTGATCCGTAACATCACCCCTCTTCATGATCAGAAGCTTCTGACGGCTCTAGGGAAGCAGTGGTACTCTCAGAAGAGTCTGTGGGGACAGCCTTTAGGTACAAACACACACTCACGTCACACAACTAATCATTCATTTAGAATGCATTCTTTTTCTACCGATCCAGTGTTTAAATTATAGACAATTATTTTTTGTTCAGGACCATTAAATCCAATTTCATGGGCATAATAAAACTTTATGAAGTTATTTGACTAAAACTCATGAACGTATTATATAATTATATACAAATTAATGAATATGAAAATATAAAAGTGAAGTAATAAGTGTGTGTGTGTGAGACACACACTCTGTGTAATATTTACATATATTTACAAACTCTGTAATGGTGTAAAGCCATTAGATGGTTAGATTACAGTTTTTTTTTATTCACTTTGGTACTATTTTCACAAGTAAGGTGTACATTTTCAAAACTCTTAGTGCTAATATCACAACAGATCATCAAAAGTGCACTTTTTTTTCAAACATTTCATCAACTGTGTTCGTACAATTCACACAATCACAAAGTATGCTTTTCACAACACAAAATAAGTGTTTCATCTACATTATTGTTTCATTCACAGCTCTTACTATCAAACTTTTGATTTGCATCTCTTTTTGTTCAGTTTAATACTTTTGTCTATTTTTTAATCCAACAGATCTTACAGTAATGGTTAATCAATTAATCATTTGGTAAACCTATAGATTTTCATTTCAGCAATATACAGTATATGGATTTTGAGAACTACAGAAGTAAAATGTGTGTTTGTATGAATATTTAAATTACATGTAACCACACATGATGAATACTCATTATAGCTAATTGATTTCACATAGTGGTAACCAGAATTGGCCACTATATACAGTAATGTGTGCACTAAATGTTATGTTTTGTTCTCATTTAGTTACATTTCATTATAGAAAGTATACCTATGTTACAATTATATCTGAAAAATAAAAACTATAATTTGCCTAAATGATTGTAGAGGATGTCTTCATTGATCCTTCACTTGATTACATATATGATGGATATTTGGAAATTATAGATTATGTAAATGTTGGAGTAAAATGTTACAGTAAAACTGTGTAATCTGTCTTTTATTGTACTGTAGCATATTCATTTCAGCACTTCTAAGGCCGATTTGAAACTTGCATCTTGCATTGTTTGCTGTTGGATGAACTGATTGTTAAAAGTACTAAACTGAAAGAAGATCTTATTGTTGTGTTTCAGCGATTAAATCAAATGTTCTCATTACATATTACAATAATCTTGTGTTTAAAATAATGATTATGTGGACTGAAAACATGTGCAACTGACTGAAAGCATTACATCAGGTTTTGAAAGAATGACTAGCTGCGTTACAAGTGTGATCAGTTTGGATTTTTGTACTAAGAGTTTTGAAAATGTACACCTTACTTGTGAAAATAGTACCAAAGCGAATAAAAAAAACTGTAACTTGAGTTTCTTAATTTTAGCTTTGGTTGTAGTTAACTTAATATTGTATTTTAATTCATATTTGTATTGTAAAAATATGTTATTGTGTGTATATATATATATATATATATATATATATATATACTTCCTGTGTGATCAGCTATGGAAGCACATGTGTTTTCTACCTTTACTAACACAGATAATCACCAAACGATGGACTCTCCATACAGTATATTAATTTGTATAATAACACTAATAATTCTCTCTCTCTCTCTCTCTCTCTCTACAGACTCCATCCATGCTTATTTTGGTGGCACTATAGCCTATTACTTCAGCTTCTTGGACTACTACACTTTGTCGTTGTTTCCTCCAGCCATTCTGGGCCTTTTCATTACCTTTTTCCTCCCAAGTGCAAACTTCTCCAGTGGAAATAAAACCGACAGCGAGCCGACAGCACTGAAGGATGACGATGACCACCCCTCGGTCAGCTCCTACATGGTGCAGGCAGTCTTCAGCATGCTGTGGTCCACGATATTCATGGAGCTGTGGAAGAGGAGGAGTGCGGCCTTATCCTATCGCTGGGGCACTTTCAATTTAGCCGAACAATTCCAAGAGCCCCGGCCGGGTTTCCATGGAGAACTCGGCACCAATCCGGTCACAGGTAGACTGGAGCCGCTGTTTCCCGATTGGAAGAGGAGGCTTAGGATGGGTCTGGTCTCAGTTCCCGTGGTTGGGGTGTTTTTGGGTCTGGTGGTCATGGGGATGGCAGGTTTCTATTTCTGTGAGCGCCTGGTCTCAAACTGGCACAAAGAATCTGGATCATACTTCACTGCACCCTTGGTATATGTTCCTTCCATAGCCCATATAGTCTACACCAACGTGCTGGGGAATATATATCGTAACGTGGCCCTGCAGTTAACAGAATCAGGTAATCAGGATTATGGAAAAGGTCAGGAAAACTCAACATTTTAATGTTGAGAAACACACTAACTCTCTCCCTCCTTTCAGAAAATCATAGGGAGGAATCATCTTTTGACTATCATCATACGACCAAAGTCCTTGTGGTGAGTATAGTTCTGTCATATCCATTTGATCTTCTTTTTTCTGACTCCCCATCTTTGATGATGTAGTCTGTACATCATTGCAGATGTTATACCTCAAAGACCAGAATTTTCTGCAAGACTGAATTAAAATGTCCCATTTGCCATGTCTGTCTGTCTCTCTTTCTCATTCAGTTCACCTTTTTCAATAACTTTGCTGTGTTGTTCCACATTGCCTTCTTCAAAGAGGACATGCCTCTACTGCGCAAGGTGAGAATTTCCTTACTCTCGCATATAATCTTAACAACATTAACGTCTTCTTAACACGATACCCTTGATTTGGTCCACAGAGACTGTCCTCCCTTCTGATCGTGACTCAGGTAGTGAATCAGTTCACTGAGGTGGTGGTTCCTTTCCTGGTGGACCGCTTCCTCACATCTGCAGACAGGAACCTGAAGGAAGATGATCCAGAGGTGGACCATCTCCAGGCTCAAGGCAGCCTGCCAGCTTTCCCAGTGAGTAGCAATCAAATATTCTCAAATATCAAGAATACAAGAATTGTTTTTTTCTTACATTCTCAATCTTGTTTCTCTTCAGGGGCTGTTTGCGGAGTACATCGAGCTGCTTGTTCAGTTTGGCTACTTGAGTCTTTTCTCTTGCGTCTATCCTCTCACCGCCCCTCTGTTACTGCTCAACAACTTCACAGAGATCCGCACAGATGCCTACAAGCTCTGCAAACTCTTCAACAAGCCCTTCTCTGCCCCTGTGGCCAACATGGGAGTATGGCAGGTCAGAAATCTGTACTTCATAAAGATGTTTTAAATGCGTTCATGATAAAGTTCTAATGTGCATATTTGTCTTGTTTACAGCTGGCGTTTGAGGTGCTGAGCTTCATCTCGGTCGTGTCTAACTGCTGGCTGTTGCTTCTGTCTCCACGTGTGAAGGAACTCACACAGGAAGCCGGCCTCAGCAGCAGCCAAATTCTAGTCATTGCCGTCATTGTGGAGGTTAGTGGAGATTTTGGTACAGCTTAGGAAAGAGTCGAAGAAATAATTGAAAAAAAAATGAAAATAGGGACCACAAGCTCCAAAAAGGATAAAAAAAGTAAAAATTTCTTTAACAATGTCAAAATTACCACACAAGGGGTTGGAATAACCTGAGGGTTAAAAGCGACCACCTACATCTTGGATGCCCTTGAGTTAGTCCAAATCGGGGGTTCGTGGACAAAAGCCCATATTAATAAGCTGCCATTGGGCGCATAATGGACCGAGGGATCGTAGGAGTTCGTGGGATGCCCACTCTCCCATATATTTGGTGGGGAGTGGGCCTTTTAGGACTACCCTCGATTTGACGGATCGTGATTTAATTCGCACGGGGTAGGGGTTATTCGGACACCTCTAGTTGGCGCCGGAGTCCCGGGCGCCAACTAGGCCCTCTATCAGAATCCAGATAAGATCAGAGAAACTCAAAATTTTGACCCAAAAAAAAAACGACAGTGTTACCCCTGTCGTTTTTTTTTTGTGCGAAAAAATAAGTTTCTCCAATCTTCTTGAAATTCTCGATTCAGATAGAGGGCCATGGGACTTAGACCTGAGTGCAAAAATGGAGGCTCTAGACCCTTCCAGAGCTGAGATATTGAGATCCCACGTAGTATTTATGCTATTATAAATATCTCAATATCAGTAAAAAAAATCAGTAATAATGGTTTCTATAGTCATGGAAACCATTACAGAAATTGTATTGGATTTAATGGTTTTCATGGGAATTATAGTGGTGTCTGTGGGTCTCCGCTGTAGTGGTTTAAATGGTAAAAGCAAATGGTTCCTATTGGTATTTTAATCAAAACCATTAGAATTTATGTGATGGTTTCCAACTTTTTTGAAGCTGGTCTGATCTTCTGTCTTTGTCTAAAGAAATAATTACACACACACACATCATGCTTAATGTTTTATTGTCAAAGTGAACACATGAAATTCTTCAGTATCTGTAAAATTCATCTACATAACTGAGTTTCACAGTAGGCCTACTAACACTGTTTCAGCTTTGATCGATTCGGTAAACTCATCATAAACGGGCCGTTAATATACACGGCTACTTGCATTTTATGGTTGTCAGCTTTGTTGCATTACATTTACTTCACCAGGAGATGGTGCTGTAATTTCTATCTGAATGAAGCTTCGAGTAATGAACCATTTTCGACACAATTGTATCAGAAAGCAATAATGCTTCGAAACGCTTCATTTGGCCATCACTACCCCTGAGTCTATAGCACCAAAGCGCCATCCCATAATTCCACTGTCCATGAACACACTTTTTGTCCAATAACCCACTATTTTTGAAAAGTACTAACCCTGGCCTTCATGCAATGAGCTGCAAATGGACAGAATCCCGCCTATAATCTATTGAATGGGGATTTGGGTAGTGTGTTTT